ATTTCCCGAAAACCAGAGAACACTTCTCAACGAAAGGATTCTCTCGAAAGGTATACCACTCGCGAAGACTTTGTTTCTTAGTTTTACTCATTGATCCGATTCTCTGACACTCGAAGGCGGGCCACAAATGCGACACTTTCTCACGGAAAAGGTCAGAGTCTGTAAGACGGGCGACGCCAAGCTGTCGAAAGGCTATGAGCTGCCGGCCCGGTATGTCGTCCACACCGTTGGCCCTAAATATAACTCCAAATACCATACGGCGGCCGAAAACGCGTTATACAACTGTTACACAAAAGTGCTGCAAATCAGTCGCGACAACGGCTTCTCCTCACTGGCCTTGAGTGCCATCAATACGCCNAGCTGCCGGCCCGGTATGTCGTCCACACCGTTGGCCCTAAATATAACTCCAAATACCATACGGCGGCCGAAAACGCGTTATACAACTGTTACACAAAAGTGCTGCAAATCAGTCGCGACAACGGCTTTTCCTCACTGGCCTTGAGTGCCATCAATACGCCGAACAGAGGGTATCCGCGACAGTCGGCCGCACACATAGCCCTCCGAGTGGTCCGCCGTTTTCTCGAGCATTACAGCGATTCCATCGATTTGATTATCTTCGCCGTCGACGACACGGACATCGGTTTCTACGAGCTTTTAATGCCTCTGTATTTCCCGCGCTCTGAGCCCGAGGAGGAGTACGCGCGCTATCAACTACCACAAGACGTGGGCGGGCAGTACGGAGAGCCTGTCATACCGGAGCGCGAGATCAGGATCGCCGCCAAACCCAACACATTGTCGACCATTGAGGAGAGTGTGGACCTATCGAGCGGTTTGGACACATCGGTGGCGGTGGGAAAGACAACGTTTGCCAAAATGCACGGCGATTTAGATAAGAAGTATAAACTATTTAAATTGAGAATTCATTTTTTGGATTTTATTATTGATTATAATAATTATTACATTTATTTAATATTAATAAAGAGAATGAGATATTTTAAAACACATAGTGTTTGTCGAGTTTTTGTTGTTTTGTGTGTTTTCATTGGCGTTACCTTTGCTGAGAAGGATCGGCACAAAAGATTAGCCGATTCTATGGCCGAAGAATATTTGACTGTAAACTCGGATGATGTCATCCCCGAAGATATGAGTGCAGGTATTTGTGATGATTTTCATTGATTGTATAGTTGTTCAGAATTATTGAGAATATTCTATGAAAGCAATTAAATATTAGTTTTTTAAGTTTTTTCAATCACTGTTGGGAAGTGTAGTTCCGTTGAAAACGTGTAAAACGTTTAGTAGTTTAACGACTATTTTCTCAGTTCATTGATTTCATTAACAATAAATTCTTAATGAAATTTGTAATTTCAATGGAAAGCAAATGTTTTGACTGTTTTTTATGTGTGAACTAAGGCATTGAATGTCATGAAAAGCTAACACATTATTAAATTCCTATACTTTACTAATTGTGCCCTCAGTTGAGGTGCCGTGTGATAGACATTTCAAGAGGGAGTCTAATTCATTGCACAGACAGTCGTTATGCCGGCCGCCCAGAAAGCAGTTGATTGCCGTGAAAATGCCCTCAAAGTATTATATGCCGGGAGTCTATCACAGGCCCAACAGCTACGAAGTGGACAGATGTGACGGCGTGTGTCAGCACCCGAACCACAAGT